CGCCTCCCCCCAAACTACATGGGCTGATTTACACAGCTCCCATGACATGTCAGGAAGTGAGCTGAATAAATCCTCGCTGAGTTAGTGAGCTTTATTGTTTTCAGTGATTCACCAAGAAATCGGATTCAAGATGGCCAGGAGGGGTGGAATCACCAGGAAGTGTTTTCCTGATACATGCAGCTTTCCCCTGAACTTTGAACTTCCTGACCTGGAATGCTGTTAATTCCTCTTTTAACTATTCTAAATGCTGTTTAACCGGCTTCTTTCATTGTGATTTTTTTCCCCTCCCCATTGCAATTTTATTTATTAAATTTATGCCTTGCCCTTCTTCCTAAAGGAACCCAGTGACAAAACACTAACAACAAACATCTTAAAGATAATTCCAGTACAGATGCAGTCCTGGGAAAGATCTCGGCTTAAAAGTCTTGATGAAGTTTTAATTATGGATGCTTTTAACGTTTTGGTGGAATTGTTTTATTGTGTGTTTTAATTATAGATTATACACCTGCTCGTGGGGTAGAGGAGCTGCAAACAAAATCTCACATTTGGCAACCAGTGCACCCCTTTGGTTTCAGATAGTACATGGGTAGAGGAGTCTAAGAAGCCTGTGACACAAATTTTTCAAGGCCCTCTAGTGGCTATGCTGGCTCTTTTACCAGAAGTAATGTATTTAGTGTTAACTCTGGAAATGTTTACTCAATTCTGACCAAACTACGCTTCCTAATGTGCTCTAGGAGGCTAAGTTTGGTCAGAATCCAGTGAAATATATTGACATTATTTTCAGCTCTCCTACCCCACTATGACCTCCTGCCCACCTAGCAGTTCGAAAGCACGTCAAAGTGCAAGTAGATCAATAGGTACCACTCTGGCAGGAAGGTAAATGGCGTTTCCGTGTGCTGCTCTGGTTCGCCAGAAGCAGCTTAGTCATGCTGGCCACATGACCCGGAAGCTGTACGCCGGCTCCCTCGGCCAATAAAGCAAGATGAGTGCCGCCACCTCAGAGTCGGCCACGACTGGACCTAATGGTCAGGGGTACCTTTACCTTTACCTTTTTACCCCACTATGACAGCTTCCTATATACTGTTCGTATATACTGTAGTGTGTTTTCTTTTTGGATGCTACAGTTGTCAGTGGGCCCAGAAGGCAAAATTCCCTGAACCCTGTGTTCCTAGGTTTTTAAATCTCTTTCCTTGGAGAAATCTAGGACTGCCCACAACTAGGGACAATTGAAATGTTGCTTACTTGCAGCCAAAGGGTGTGATTTTAAAAAAAGCTCCATACTGTGTACAGTGTTAGAACTCCATGCGACTTTTGGCATTTGCCTAGTCCCATGCTTTAATTATTTAGCTAACTCTTCAGGGCTTTCACCCTTGAATTATCTTGGAATCTGTGGAGCAACACTTTTAATGGAATTTGAATTTGGGGTTGTTGTTTTAAAATAGAAAATAAAATAAAAACCCCTCCAGGAATGACTAGCTTGTGGCTGCTTAAAAGGGTATTATTTCATAGAGTTTTTTTTTTAAAAAAAGGGAGGGGAAAATATATTTTGTGCATCTTATACTGAATTCGTGCTTCAGCAAATGTAATTATGATAATCTAGCTTTTGCAATAATCTCTGAAGAAGATGCATATCCATTTGCAGCAACTCAGCTGAGCAAAATCTTTTCAGTATTTCAAGATTAGTGACTGGTCTCAGCAGTTTGCTTAATTTAAAGGCAATAAATAAGAACCCATGAACTTTTGGAAGAAAGGGCCTTGGTTTGGGGAGGTTTGGATTGGAGAGATTTAGAAATTGGATATAGGGATAATAAGTGGATAAAAAGTGACTTGTTTGCTGTTAACAGGGCTTTTGAGTCATTGGTATGTGAATGCTAGTGATCCCAGCATTTTATTTTGCCATGTGAATTATGACTTCAGGCAATCTGAATGCCTTTGGTATTCAGCATACTTATGATAGATATAAAGAGATTTCATAGCTGGGTTTGTTTTGCTTTATACTAGCCTCCTTGTGATGCTTCAACTGTATCAAAAGTGACTTTAGTGCACTCTCAGTTGGTTTTCATTCGGTTCAGTATTGGATCACTGCATTTCACAGAGGTGCTGTGAAATTAACATTGTAGGCCCAAACTGGAATTAGAATTACATTCTGTGCCTCCGCATTTCTAGAGTTGTTGAATTGCCTCCAGCGTTGACTTCCTGTTGGGTTTTGGTTTCTGTGCTTTTTCTAGCTCTCTTATTAAATCCTCTTGATTTCTCATGTATATTTTGTGGGCATATTAGCACAGTAGTACAGAGATGATGTACCTGGGCATCCGTAGGAGAGTTCTTAACACTCTTTGCTGCCTGGCACTCCCTGGGGGTCAATAGGAAGACCGATTCAACTGGGATCTGTATCACTAGGATTAAATTCAGCCTTGAATAGCCAAATGGATGGTTAGCTGCTGAATATGGAAAAGTAGGACTCTGCTGTCTCTTGTGTGAAGGTCCAAGGCACAGACGTGGAATGACAGATACTATAGGTCAGGTATGGGGAGATAGTTTTCTCTCCCACCCCTCATGGGCCAAGCTTGAAAGGTGGGCAGAGTTGTCTACCTGTCAGTCACAGTGACATGCCTTAGAGCAGGCATATCCAACTCCCAAGAGACTGTGATCTACTCCCAGTATAAAAAAACTGGCAGTGATCTACCCATTGGAGGGAGGAGGAGTTGTTGACCTTTTTTTGGGAGGATTGCACAGCACAGTATTTTTAGCTCCCCCCCCCATAACTTTTTGTACACAATAAGGACCCCGTGATCTACCAGGATCAGCTGGGGATCTCCCGGTAGATCACAATCTACTGGTTGGACATCCCTGTCCTAGAGGTCCAAGATTTGGAGAGCAAATGGCAGTTAACATGCCCACTCTGTAATTCTTGCCTTTCATTGACTGCTTCCAGACATGCCGCTATCCATGAACAGGAAGCTAGACCGTTCACAAGCTCGGTGTTGGTGCATGCAGCTCATAGCTGTCAACTTTTCCCTTTTCTTGCGAGGAATCCTATTCGGAATAATGGAGTTTCCCTTTTAAAAAAGGGAAACGTTGACAGCTATGATGCAGCTTGAGCAGTCCTTGCTTTGATTCTCCCTTCCCTGAATGGAAGCCAAGAACAGACCTTTGTTTCCAACCATGGTTTGCCTTGAGAAGAGCAAACTGTGAACACTGGTTTGCACATAACACTGTGGTTTGTTTCCCCTTTATAAGAAAGGAGCAAAGGGCAAGGTGCTTGAGCTGTGTGCATAACCATTGTTTATGGCCAGCATTACATGTGAATGAAGACACTGGCGACTTGGGCTGTTGGTTCTGAAACACAGTTTTGGAGGTACATGGAAGACTTTCCTGGGAATTTCCACCCTGTAGGCTATCATGTTTTTATATTCCACTATAATTTTTTGGCTATCCATCAAGAAGGAGCAGCATGGGGAAGATTTGGTAATTCTGTGAAACCATTTCCACCCTTTTTTTCTTGTAGGCAGAAAGCCTGACTCTCTGTGAATGAATTCCTGGCTGTTCTTGAAGACGTATGTCTATTCAGTCATGTTTCCTTCTGTGTTCAGAACTGAAAATCGAATGCATTTTTTAAATATCAAGTGTTGCCCGTCATTCTTTGTTTTTTTTCCCTGATCAAGAGTTTTCCTTTTGAATTTTTCTCTTGCACGAGTTGCCATTTATCTGTAGACCTGCGGGTGTGTCCCCCCTGTTAAAATTCACTCCCCCCCCTAGCCCTGGGGAGGGTCTCTGCTTTGAGACTATCCACCTGCAAAGTGAGTGGGGAGGGGGAGAGAAGCAGTTTCCTCAGTAAATAGCAAATCCCCCCCCCAATCGACAACATTCTAACTTTATATTACCTGGATGTTAAACTGATTCCCACATATTACCAGATTCAGAATTGTTTATTTGTGTCTCATCACCAGACCATCACAAAGCTAGAACTAAACAAAAGGGTGCTTCGTATCTGTAATGAAATTAACAAAATGCAGAATGAATAATAATTTCACAAACCTAAGTAAGATTGTATAAAACTGTCAACACACCTAAAATATTGAATCTTCCTAGCAAAGAGGCAGCATTAAATCAGTGTGTATGGTGCTGGGTAGATAAAGCTTTTTTTAGCATAAAGAAGATAGGCTCTTCATGTTCCACTAGAACTTTAATGATGCCATATATGCTCTAAACTCGGTGGAAAATGTGAATGGAATGTTTTGATGGAACTCCATAACATTTTCTTGACGCTCTGTGCCTGTTCTCTTCCATGCTACGTCCAGTACTGCTATGATAACTGAGATACTGATCTTTTGTGGATGAAATGCCCTGGAGTTTTGGTAAATAACTAGCACTGACATACTTTGCTTGCCTCTTATCCCTGTTATTGAATTTATATACCACCCTATACCTGGAGGTCTCAGGGCACTTCACATAAAAATATCACAGTATATAAAATAAAAATGAAAGCGATAACCCAATAATACCCCTCCCCAAAGAGCCACATTTTAAAAGGGTATGGGATGTTGATCAGGTTAACCAAAGGCCTGATTAAAAAGGAAAGTTTTTGCCTGGCGCCTAAAGGTGTGTAATGAAGGCACCAGGCGAACTTCCCTGAGGAGAGCATTCCACAGACAGGGAGCCACTGCAGAGAAGGCCCCGTTCTCATGTTGCTACCCTCCGGACCTCTCAAGGAGGCGGCACATGAAGAAGGGCCTCAGAAGATGATCTCAGGGTCTGGGTAGGTTCATATGGAAAGAGGCGGTCCTTGAGAAGAAAGGTTTCCCTTGCAATTTGCTTAAAAAGCAAAATTGTTTCCTTACTTGCAAGTCCTCAAAGTAATTAGAAATCCTTCAGAAAGTTTGTGTAAGTTTCTTGGCAGAACGAAACAAGTTTAGTGGGCTTCATTTTCCACTGGTATGGGTATTTTTGCATGTTAAAAATCACAGTACTGATAGGAAACATTTCTGTTCATTTTGTAGATTTGCTTCTAAGCTATTAACGTGACCATGGGAGATATGAAGACCCCGGACTTTGACGACCTCCTTGCGGCATTTGACATCCCAGATATGGTTGACCCTAAAGCTGCTATTGAGTCAGGACACGATGACCACGAAAGCCACATCAAGCAGAATGTGCATGCTGACGACGATTCTCACGCACCGTCGTCGTCCGATGTTGGCGTCAGCGTCATTGTGAAAAACGTGCGGACGATTGATTCCTCTGAAGGAGCGGAGAAGGAAGGCCACCCCTCTACAGGCAATGGCTTGCATAATGGGTTTTTAACTGTTTCGACTCTAGATGGTTACAATAAAGAAGACTGCAAATCTCACAAAGACGAGGGCTCTGTTTCGGAGACAACACTGAAAGAATCTACCTTCAACCAATTTAGCCCTATCTCAAGTGCTGAAGAATTCGATGATGATGAAAAAATTGAGGTGGATGACCCCCCTGATAAGGAAGAGATGCGTGGGAGCTTCAGAGCGAACGTATTGACAGGGTCCGTCTCCCAGCAGGATTATGAGAAATTAAAGGTACTTGGAGGGGAAAACCTGATGAAACCTGGCGTTGCAGGTTCCGGTAATGCCGATAAAAATAAACTTGTTAAAAGAGACTCAGAAACAAACTCTACGCCTTTGGGTATGTACGAACCCTTTAAAGCGAGAAAAACAGATGATAAACTACACAAAGAAAATCCCGAAAAGGTACATGAAAACCGGGTACTTGATGGGAAAATAGGCGCTGAGAAAGCGGAAGCAAACCTCACCAGTGTTTCGCAGTCGAAAGCAAAGTCATCAGCAAAACTCTCCTCGTGTATTGCTGCCATCGCGGCACTTAGTGCTAAAAAAGCAGCAACAGACCCTGTGAAAGACCCACAGTCTACTTCTAGAGAGCCGTCTCCCTTGCCAAAAGATATGAATGAAAGCCCTAGGGCCATTGACAAATCACCTGAACCTCAGAGTCTCATTGACTGTGCTAAGAAACCCTCCGTTAAGCAACCTGACAGTCCCCGGAGCGTATCGAGCGAAAACAGCAGCAAAGGGTCTCCGCCGTCACCCGCAGGCTCAACACCAGCAATCCCGAAAGTCCGCATCAAAACCATCAAGACATCGTCTGGCGAAATCAAGAGGACGGTTACGAGAGTGTTGCCAGAAGTTGATTTGGACGGCAGCCGCAAAGCAGAACAAACGGCTTCCATGGTGGCGTCCATGACTTCGCTGCTCTCCTCCCCGACCTCCGCCGCAGTCCTTTCTTCTCCCCCTCGGGCACCCCTTCAGTCGACGGTCGTCACCAACGCCGTTGCGTCCGCAGAACTCACCCCGAAGCAGGTCACCATTAAACCCGTGGCTACTGCTTTCCTTCCAGTGTCGGCTGTGAAGACAGCAGGATCCCAAGTTATCAACCTGAAGCTCGCGAACAACACGACGGTGAAAGCCACCGTGATATCTGCTGCTTCGGTGCAGAGTGCCAGCAGTGCCATTATCAAAGCTGCCAACGCCATACAGCAGCAGACTGTGGTGGTGCCAGCGTCTAGCCTTGCCAGCGCAAAACTCGTGCCAAAGACAGTCCATCTTGCCAACCTTAACCTACTGCCTCAAAGCGCTCAGGCCACCTCCGAACTCCGCCAGGTGCTCACCAAACCTCAGCAGCAGATCAAGCAGGCAATAATCTCTGCGGCGGCTTCGCAGCCTTCGAAGAAGGTGTCCCGGGTCCAGGTGGTGTCGTCTTTGCAGAGCTCCGTGGTCGAGGCTTTCAACAAGGTGCTCAGCAGTGTTAACCCCGTCCCTGTTTACATCCCGAACCTCAGCCCCCCCGCCAACGCGGGCATCGCTTTGCCCCCGCGCGGCTACAAGTGTTTGGAGTGCGGAGACTCCTTCGCCCTGGAAAGGAGCCTGACGCAGCACTACGACCGGAGGAGCGTGCGGATCGAGGTCACCTGCAACCACTGCACAAAGAACCTTGTTTTCTACAACAAGTGCAGCCTCCTCTCTCACGCCCGCGGGCATAAGGAGAAAGGGGTGGTGATGCAGTGCTCCCACTTGATTTTGAAACCCGTCCCAGCGGATCAAATGATAGCTTCTCCGACAAGCAATAGTTCCGTCGCCTCGTCTGTCCTTCAGAGTTCCATCGGGATGGGCGCCCATACTGTTGCCAAGATACAGTCCAACATCACCGGAGCGGTCATCTCGGCTCCTGCAAGCACGCCTGTCCCTCCAGCCATGCCCCTGGACGAAGACTCGCCAAAGCTGTGCCGGCATAGCTTGAAGTGTCTGGAGTGCAACGAAGTTTTCCAGGACGAGACGTCTCTAGCAACGCACTTCCAGCAGGCTGCAGACTCAAGCGGACAAGTACAGTATCTTATATTTAAATTCCAATGTTCCTGGTACTATGCAAAGGAGATTGAGATGTGCTTCCCCTCCCCCTCCCATTTATAAATGTGTGTTTTCCTTGGCATCCTTTTTTTTGGTCATAACTTTTATTTTTTAAGTGGCAAAAGACTGAGAAAAGTAAATTTAAAGTGGGCTGGGAGGAGGAATCGTTGGGAAGCAAAAAACAGCTTTTTGAGAAGAAAAGTGCTCGTAGGAATTCCTACGTACCGTATTTTTCGCTCTATAACACACACCTGACCATAACACGCACGTAGTTTTTAGAGGAGGAAAATCCGTAGGCATGCCATCCGTAGGAATTCCCTCCATAACACGCACAGACATTTCCCCTTACTTTTTAGGAGAAAAAAGTGAGTGTTATGGTGCAAAAAATACGGTAGTCCTTAAGCTACTTAAACATAATAACGAGGCAAAGTATTTCAACTATTAAGGGTTCCACAGCCTGGCGCCTTCAGGTGTTATTGGACTATAACTCCCATCAGCTCCAGCCAGCATAGCCTGTTGGTAGGATGGGAGTTATAGTCCAAATTTGGAAGGCACCAAGTTGGGGGAGACTTTTATGAAACAGTTTTCTGCTTGCTGGAGGAGAGCTCCCCTTCAAATTTCAAGGGTTCAGGCTAAATGCTCAACTGTGAAGGAGGCCATTGAGGTTACTGGTCTGTTACTTTTCTGGGGTCTGGAAGCAGCATGGTTCCTGATAGAGAACTTTCAGTCCATACGTCTTTCTGCATGTAGCACTGTCATACAGACTTTGTTTTTCTAGTGGTGAGTGTGTGCATGCACAGACATGCGCACACACCTGTTCTGTAACTATCCTGATCTGCTCCAGAAATAATCTGGAGGCATCTAGAAAAGACTCCGGATTGTGTTGGGTTTCATCAGTCCCCCCTCACCCCCGCAATCAACTTAATTTGCATTTTCCAAAATGGTATCAGAAACAAAACACAGTTATCCAAGTTTTGCATTTTGGTTCTTCGGCCAAGTTATGTATACAAAAAATGCATAAACTAGGCTAAAATGTGCCTAAGATGTGCAGATAGATAGATAGATGATAGATAGATAGATAGATAGATAGATAGATAGATAGATAGATAGATAGATATAGATAGATAGATAGATAAATAGATAGAACCTATGAAATGCATTATATTTGCAAATAGCTTTGCAAAAAACATGTGTCACATGGAATTGTATACAGAAATGTGGCTATTAAGTAGCATTCACACTAAGATGCTGGACATATGTGTATATATATGTGTGCCTATATACACACAGAGAGAGAGACAGGCATTTTGCAAACTGATGTGGAGAACTGTAATTAGGCCTGGAAAATGAGAAAGTGAAATTGAAAGGTTCATGGTCATGCTTATGTACAATGGATTTTGTTGAATTGCTACCCTTTTAATAATTTGCCAGTTAGTTGACAGACACAATCGTTGCTTTGTTCTCCGCCCCCCCCCCCCCGTAGTTAAATTTCCTGCATGAAGTTTCCTTCCCATATTGGGCGCTTGTCTTCTGAGCTTTGTTAATGTGTGAAGTCCATGGAAAGACATGCCCACCATGGTTTGCAAGCCTGTGTCAAAAATAGTGCTGAAAAGTGGTGATTAATAGGTCTCATTTTCTGCTCCATCGTAGACTGTGTGCTTAACACTGCTTTTCATATACAGTCAAACCTCGGTTGTCAAACGTAATCTGTTCCGGAAGCCCGTTCGGCTTCTGAAACGTTCAACAACTGAATCGCGCCTTCTGATTGGTTGCAAGAGCTTCCTGCACACAGTGGAAGCTGCATCAGACGCTCGGCTTCCGAAAAATGTTCTAAAAAACTGGAGCATTTACTTCCGGGTCTTCTGCATTTGGGATCCGAAACATTCCAAAATGGAGCCGTTTGGGAACCGAGGTTTGATTGTACTTCCTGGCCATTAAAGATTTATCCTTCTCCTCCGGTGGCGGTCTGTGTATTTTACTGCAGCTGCAAAGATACATAGTGAAGTATCAAAGTAAAGCACAGGCATGGTCTTTCCCCAAAAATATAGTTTTGCAAAATAAATGAAAGGTTAGGAAGTTTTTTAAAAAGAAGCAATCGAGCTAAAACAGGCCAGCTATTACGTATTAATATCTAAGTCCTTCCTAAGCATTGGTCGAGCTGTGATGCCATGGAATTTTGACAAACATTTTAACTTATAAGTAAAATTTAGAAGAAAGAAGCTTTGGGGCAGAAAAGGCTGTATACTGTTGGATAGAAGAGGTGCAGAGAGTTTAGATGTGTGAGCCAGCGTGAACTTCTGGTGTCCCTGTTTCTGCTCATGAGTATTCGCTCCCCTTTCTGGTGCAGGGCGAAATGAAATGAAATTCTCTTAGGGATAGTTCCTCAGTATTCCCTCTTATGCAGTTGGGTGCGGAGAGGCGAAGAGAGCTGCTTTCAGGACAAGCCGAATAGAATGAACCTGCCTGCACATTTTTCGCAGTATAACATTGTTATCTGCAGAGTGGAGCAGCCCATTGCAACTTTAGCAGCCATGCCAGACTCTGCGCATATGATCCTTTAGGGCTGATTCCCACTCTTAAGGTACATGTCTGTGACAGATATTATAGCCAATGAGACCTTGCTGGCACCCCCCCCATCAAAACAGTTAAAAAGCTTCCAAATCTTGGCATTTCTTCTCGTGGCCTTTATAAAACAGCACAGTCCCTCTCAACATGTGTGCAACTTGACCTGACGTTTATCCTCCAGCCCTATAGTTATTCTACTCTTCCTCCTCTCTCTGTGAGGGATGGCATCTCTAAGGAAACCTTTAGGATCTTTGCCTAATAAGAGAAATGAGGAGTGAAACCTATAGAATGGCACCAAGACACACACAGTTTCAGTACAGTGGTACCTTGGTTGTCAAACTTAATCTGTTCTGGGAGTCCGTTCGACTCACGGAACCATTTGAAAACCAAGGCACAGCTTCCAGTTGGCTGCAGGAGCTTCCTGCAACTCAATTGGAAGCTGCGTTGGACGTTTGGCTTCCAAAGAACGTTTGAAAACCGGAAAACCACTTACTTTTAGGTTTTCAGCATTCGGGAGCCGAAATGTACGAGTACCAAGGCGTTCGAGAACCAAGGTACGGCTGTACTGGTTTTGGAGCAGTGGTTTACAGCAGTGTTCTCACAAGCCCTGTTTGAGCATTCAGATGAATGTGTGAAGGCTCACGTTTTTGTGATTGGGGCCATGTGCACTGGCTTCACCCCTATGAAACCCCACCTCCCTTTCTCCTGAGGGTTTCTTTCTGTGTTGCCCATAACAGTCGGAAGGGGGAATCTCACAGTGTTTAGCTAAATGTAGTTGAAATTGCCCCTTTCATCCGGGTGATCGCTCGGGGGATTCTGCCTGTGGCCACATGAATGAGTTAGAATTTCCCTGGAGATTTTTGTGCTCCATGCAAAGAAAGGTTGGAAGAGGAGGGGGCAGGATGGTGTTGCATACAGATCTTGGAAGTGGGGATGGCATCTGTACCCTTGCACCTCTGCACAGCTTGAGTCTTCCTGTGTTGTTGAAGAAGGTTACTGCTCTCACCTTTCCGGGAGACCATAGTTTATGCGTCCGTCAGAGAGAGGGGATAAATACCTCCCCTGAAAGGCTCCCTCATGACCCATATCCTCCAGAAGAAAGGATGTGCATTCATCCAGTATTGTAAAAGTTTGTGGGAAAGGGTTTGTGAGTTGTACTAGCTAGATCTGCTGTTTCTGTTTGGGTTCTGAGCTCAGGTTATGGTGCTAGTAATATCTGTTCATTTTATTTCATTTGAAACATTTCTGTGCTGCCTGTCCCCTTGAGGAAGGATACCTATTTAAAAAGTGCACACACCAGGCAGTATCATACACAGTATAAAATGTGGCTGCACCAGGCAGGACTAAAACCGGAATTAGATACTTGCAAAAGCACAGTTAAATAAGTAGGTTTCAAGGAGGCACTGAAATAAAATCGGAAATGTCGCTTACCCAAGTTAAGTTCTACAGTTAGAGAATAACTTGATCCCAAGCTTACGGGCATAGAAAACTGCCTGGGATTTTTAGTCTGTGATTAGCAAATACCTGATTGATGAGCAACTGGGACAGTGCCTTCTTCATGGTGGTGCTGCAGTTGTGGAAGTCTCCCCCCTCATAGATCCTGCAAGGCTTCCTTCTGTCCCATTTTTATATGGCGCATGAACACATTTTTATTCCAGAAGTCGTTTTGCGATGGACTCTGGATGTTTTCATTGGGCTTTGCTTTCTTCCTTTTCATGCCACCTTTCCATCAAGAAGCATTCCCAGGGCAGGTTACATCATCCACGTAAAATGTACACCGTAACAGTAACTTTAAAAACAACAGAAAAACCTACAAATAGAATTGTTCTGTCTGCTTCTTCTGAATACCAGAGCCCCTTCTGCACCACCAAAATCCTGGAAGAAGAGGTGGCAATGAAGGCTGAGCAATGCCAGGGCCAGCTCTGCTTCTGAGGGGAGTTATCTCCACAACTGGTGGCAGTGCTGGGTTTTGGGGCTGAGAATATTTCAGTACTTCATTCGTTTTTTATTTTGCATTTTATTGTTACGTCTCCAAAGCTGCTTACGTTAAAATGAAAATGTGTGGTATTCAACTGACTTTTGTACTACTGCAAGGATTAACACTAGCACAAACAGACACACACTTACCCCAGGTGTCACACGCTGTCCCCAGATCTGTTCTAGAGGGGTGGGGGAACCCTGAGAACAGATTTAGAGGGTGCACAGGGGAAGGACAGAGTAATTCCGTTGTGCAAAGAGAAATCCTTGTGCCAACAGAATCTGAGACTTAGCGCACAGTGAGATTGGAAAAGCAGGACATAAACAACTTAAATGAATAGATAGATCTTTTATTTCTCTAGGTCATGAATCATGAATGAAATTTATTACGCTCAGAGACCAGCTTGAGAAACGCAACTGGAACTACAATCCCA